GGAGCCAGAACAGCCAGGATCTGGCTGTAATTAACCACACTATGTTAATTGCTCTTTCCTGTTCTGATGACATCAGGGGAGCAGGGGCAGATCCCGGAGGGTGGAAAAGTGTTGCTGTGCTTTCTCAGTTTCTTTCACATCTTGGAGGAGATCCCAAAGGGCTCCTGTGCTCACATGAAACTGAATTCTAGCACACTATAAGATGGCTACGGTTAAATCACAGTTAAATCTGCCTAGACCCAAAGAAAGTCTCTGGTAGCAGCTGGAATTACTCCTGATTTAAACACCTTGTAGCTGACAGGGAATTCAGTTCATTCTTTGAAAACTGTCTGTAAATTTGGCATCGCAACACTGCTAAGGCAACAGAAAAATACAGAGGTTCTGAGTTTCAGATCATATAGAACATGAAGTCCCAACCTCCTGTGTTTATTACAGACTAGTTAATCTTTTGTGAAGGTTTTGAATCGGTACTCTTAATGTTATGGGAAGTGATTACCCCCTTTATATTCACTCTAGGCCATGCTGCCTCTCAAAAAAGAAGTGCTACTGAAGTGCAAAGTCTAATAATTGTCACAGGTAGCAGATATAACATTAAGTACATCCTGACAAAAGATTAATAGCAGGGGTGCTGCACTGCAGGACTGAGGCAGGTAACCAAATGAGTAAATGTCAAATGAAGGATTATCCTCATTTGATGCTATTTCATACACCTCTTTTCTGCATAATCTCTCCCAGCTGAGACCTAAACCAGGTGTTTTCAAATGCATAAAGTAGAAGCTCTACCTGGTGTGCTAAAGGAGATCCACTATTAGCTGTCAGCAGGAGCGACATCTTTTCAAGTACTCAGCCAGTAGTCAGGATACAGCACTACAATGCAGCTGACAATGACAAAGCGCTCACCAAGTCAAGCCCTTTCTGGATTGTGCTAAACTATTGCTATTTATTATTCAAACTTCAGTAGTACCCATGTCAAGGATCAGAGCCTTTCTGTGCTTGCCTCTGGAACAGAACCCAAAATGTGGCTCCTTTCATTTGATTTCATCCTCAACACAGTGCTTACAAGAGAGTCCTATGGTGAAAAGCCAAGTGGAGCACAGGATGTAATCTTTTAGTTAGAGGATGTACCTTTTTCCAGTGCAAAGACCAGTGAGGTCCTGGTGATAGATATGGGCAGATTTAGTTCTATGTTTGATTTTACAAGCTCAATGCTCTTCTAACATGTTTTTGCAAAGTTGCTACCTGTTTTTTGTGCCAGCCCATCAGCTTTTAGTTATATGAGCACACATCCCTTTCCCCCCCTGCAGAATTAGCAACTGCTTCACAAATATCAATGCTTTCAACCTCCCTCTGAGGTGAAGCAGAAGGACTCATTTTCCACAGGAACAGGAGTTACAGAAAGATGAAGGTTAAAAAGTGCCACTCGTGGTTGCCCAATTTCAGACATGAAGACCAGTTCTCCCAGATTAATTAATATGACACAGTACCTGAAATGTTCAGAACAGGAGTCACAGAATCATAGAACAGTTCGGGTTGGAAGGGACCTTAAAGATCACCTGGTTCCAACCTCCTTGCCAGGGATGGGGCAGCCACAACCTCTCTGGGCAACCTGTGCCAGTGCCTCACCACCCTCATAGTGAAGTAACTTCAAGCCATATCTGTGAGTAACCCAGCTCCTCTGACACATTAAGAGTAGCAGTCCAGACATCCAGAAGAGAAACTGTATGAGCCTGGTGGTCACTTATAACTAGTTCACTTTGCCCATCATCAGGCTGGGATTGTGTTTCGAGAGCAGGATCCATTCTTCAGGCAGCAAACTACTAGATAAGAGGCTCCCTCCTCTTCTACAGTGAGGCAGGGTCCTGTAGCTCTGGCTGATGCAGAGAGGATGTTCAGCCTGAGCACTGAAGCAGGAAGGGGCCATGCAAAAAAATACTGTGCAACCCTGAAATTAAAGATGGTATCAAAGCACAATCACAAGAGGGCAGTACCTTCATTCTCCTTAATGACTGGCTTCTGCATGCTTTATTCTGCAGCTTTTTCTCTTTTCTAGTGCAATCCTATGTTGTGTTATATAAAAGCCTTTGGTCCCAGCTTACTTAACCTGGACAGTTCCTGCTCTGACCCCTGTCTCCCCTGAAGACTGCTTTCTTTTTCACAAGGCTTTTATGGCTGGGCAGGCAGCTTAGCATCCACATGCATCCCAAAGAGGTACCAGATTAACCAGAGCTTCAGCTGCAGGGAAAGGTCCTCCTTCCTGTCTACAGGCCCTCGACTGGAACATGCTGAATGCTTAGGCTATTTAACACATGCTAACAGAAACCTCCTAAGGGCTTCTATCACTTGGCTGAATGGGACAATTTCTCAAGGACAGCAAAATCGTATCTACAGCATTAAGGCAACATTCCTGGTGAATTTTAGAGGTCTTTTAGTACCAAAGGGTAGCAAGAGGTCTTTTAGTCTCTTCTTCCCTAACTTTATTCTGATAAATCAGTAACTTTGCTGATGCTTTTTGGACACAGCATTAGACAGGTATCTGCCATGAAAAATGCTGCCAAGTGCAAAGTATTTGGGCTAACTTCAAAGTGACTGGACACAAGATCTAAAAGTAGAACTGTGCAATTCTACATTAATGCTACTGATGTTGCCTAAAATATGAAAACTTCCCGCCCCCAATTCCATCTAGTGGGCTGCTGAACTGTACCATTTTCTTGCAGCAACCTCTATGAGATTTTAACTGCAAGCTTCCAGAAGCTGGGATTTTACACTAGGACAAGTGTCTTCTAGACTTTCATCCCTGTTGCAGACAAGATATTCAACAGGATGAACCTATGGATTGATGGCACAGTACAGTACAGCAGTTTTCGTGCTGAATGCATTACTTACAGTACAGTGAACTGTAACACATTTTGTTTTACTCATAGTCTTGTTGCTATTTACTCTCGCAATTTATTAAAGCAATGAAACGTGGCTTGGGTTTAATACCTTACATCACTGTTTATTTTGGTGTAACTCTTTTATAGACAGGTTCACATGGGAGAAGTTACATGGCACCAAACAGAGGCCAGTTGCAAAACTGAAGAAAGAGCTATTGCTCTCTCCCTTTCTCTCCTTTCCCCTGGGAAGAATGGAGATGTGCATTTCCAACTTTTCAGGTTGAACGCGTATATTCTTATCAAAAAGAAAAAATATTATTAATTCAAAATATGTGAAATTTTGAATTATGCATTCCTGGAAAGCATGACCAGGAAGTGATGAAAGCTTCAGCCAGCCATAGGCTCAAGCACACAAGCCTTGCTTTCTTCAGTTCACAAGAATCACTGTTCTACCCCTTAGTATCCTTAATCAGTCTCTTCCTAAAACTCAATCCAGTTCCACAACTGCCTTCAACAAACCTATTCATCCAGCTCTGGGTCTGCAGGGATGGCCCTTAGGTTTGTGATTCTATGTGTCAAAAACACATACCAACCACTTCCAGCTGAAAGGAAAAGGAGGGAAGACTGACTTACTTCACTGTAGAGATTATGCCAGTTTCCATGCACTATTTGCTTTACCAAAGTTACAAGCAATGGAAAAGGTTAGCAATTAAAGTGCCATCCCATCTGAATCAAAGGCACAGTACACCTCCACAAAGCATATGTATTTAACAGATGTGGTCCAAAACTGCTGCCAGCTATTGACATAAATCATATTGCACATTATGGAGCTTCATAATCGGGCCTGTGGTTACATAGATTGCAGAGATGTATTGCAGAGCTATGATATCATACCTGTGAAATACTATACAGCTATTCAAGTACATCAGGGCTATGAAGCACTACTATTTAAACAAAATGCTTAAAAAAACCCCAACAGCACTTAAACTAATACCAAATATTTACAGTGCTGTCACTTCCAAGGTTTGGCAGGCTCGTGGTTTCTAACACACCAGTTGTGTGCCCCATTTTCTCCCTAAGTGCAAATCCCCATAGCCGGGTTTTGAAGTTGTGTCATTTTTGCCAGAGAGGTATGTTTGAGCCTTGCCAAAAATGGGTCTTTTAGATCTCAAGAAATTGCTGTGGGGACTTGCTCCTTTGCCTCATTGCAAATTGAAGGTGGAGGCTGCTTTTAAGCCAGGGACCAGCAGTACTCTTTGTTTGAGTGCCACAAATGCAAACCCAGTATTTTCTGAGACTTTGGAGAGGTGGGGAATTCCCTGCGGAATACCAAAAGAGCTTTTTTCAGTTAACATAATAACACTGTCACAAATACAAGCATGTTCTGCAGTTGCATTCCTTTTTATTGCTGTTTCTCTTAATTTTCTTTTTTTGACATTCTTTTGTCTTCCCTCCCTGTACCTTGTTTACTCGCCTTTCCTGTACAACTTCTGCCCAACCCACCCTTGGTATTCTGCTCTTCTACCTCCAGAACAGCCATTTTTAGCTGTTTTCTTGCACATGCAAGTGGAGTGACCAAGTGGAAATTCCAGCATTTCTGATGGTACTGGGCAGTAACAGTGCTTCCTTGGTACAGAAAAGAACAGATAATTAAGTCACAGAAAGTCTTATCTTTGGAGATAAATACCCAGAAGGTCTAATCAAACTTTTTAATTGAACAGTACCACGTCTGTGCTTTACTCTCTGACGACTGTAATGCAGGAATATTTATTTCACTGTCCATTATATCTATGGCCATAAGAACCCAAGTGACTTAAGTCACAAAGCCATCCTGGAGAGGTTTCTCTGCAAACAGATTCCTGAGGACACATATACCGTGATCAGATAGAGCATTACCTGCACTGGACAATAATATGCCCTTAATGGTTGCGTTTCTGAGCAAGAGGAAGGAAAGTATTCAGTACCTTAAATTAAGCTACAGTGAATGTATATTATAGAAACTACAAAATACACATATTCACAAAACACAACAATTGCTTAAAGATGTGAGTATACATTCACCTTTGTGTTTGTGTGTATAACATGTAAACGAGAATATATAACAGAGGTTGAAAATGCTGTTCTTACCTTATTGCACTTGCAGATAAGTGGCCATAAGAACCACTGGCTGAGGAACTGCTACGAGAGTTATTCAGAATTGTGACCAAGGAATTTGGAGATGTCCGTATCATGGTCTGAAGGTCAAAGCTGTGATCAGACAGGGGGGATATGGACAACGTGCGCTTCCGGCTTGGTCTAGCTGACAATCTTGGACTCGGAAACCTGGCACCTGTTATGTAAACACAAATAATTACCCACCAGGGTACTTAATCGCATTTATTTGTTATCAGTGATGGGTAAGGGGAGTCGCAAGACACCAACACGCTGTGACAAGCCTACTCTCTCCACTTGTGATATACTGGCTACGATTGAGGAAAATTAGGAAGAAAAATCTGTCTTCCTGTGGCTTACCTCAGGGGAGCTCTGTTTATTAATGTGCAAGCAAAATGATAAATTGCTAAACAAAAGGAAAAGACTTTTATGAGTTATCCCTCTCATTTCTTGTGATTTATGAATCTGATGGCTTCTTAGACATTCACATCATTAATTCAACCATGAGCAATGAGACAGTGGTTCAGATCCGGGCTACCTGCAAACCTAAAGCCACATCACTTCATATGTACAGCCAAAGCTATAATTGTAAAATACAATGTAGAAATGAAGAGGCAGATTTTCCTTTGTTGATCATAATTCTGCCTGGTCGATATTTGATGCATTAGACTGTGAAACAGTAGGATTTATTTGAATTAGTCCAGGATCTCACTATACTCTTGTGTTGGGGTCTACAGGAGCCTAGGACTGCCAATTTCTTTAAAACTAGAGCTTAAACTTTTCAAAGGAGCAAAGTGATGGCAGCCATACAGATTTAAATAAATATATATTGCACTTCTAAATTTCCTGTGCTGCTCTGAAAATCTCCACCTCTTCTGGTCTATTTTACCATGTCACCCCAACTCTCTGCAGTCCTGACAGAAGATACATCACCTTAAATTTCTTCCCTTTATTTAATTATTTTCGATCTCAGTTAAGACCAAGGAGAGAATTAGCTTCCCCACTGCGTACTGAACTGTTTCCTTTGGCTATACTGCTGCTTCTACCCTTTTAATCCCTTTAACCTCTAGTAAAGGACTGAGTCCTCACGCTCCTGACAGCCAGGGTCATGCAGGTCTTGGGTATGATGCTTACTTTACAGTCCCTGACATTCTCTGTAACTTGCTAATAATTTACAGTTGGCCAAAAGCCTCCCATTATAGGTCTGCCTTTCCTAATTCTCGCTCATATCTTGGTGCCCAGGATGATTTTTTCAGCAGGGTATTTAAACTCATGTATACCTAATATTAACGAGGAGAACAGTCCAAATGACTCTAACTAAACTCACTCTGAGGACAGAGCTGGATCAGAATCAGCTATTACATTTTCCTTACATACCTGAGTGGGTTGCCCTTCTTTCTGTGCATGTTACCCAAGATTTTCACCTGATCTTAAAAGCTGCCATTTTATTGCTGCTGCAACTGTGTGATCAGATCTCCATCTACAGCCCTCTTCCTAACCTGTGCTTAGACTGGCCTCAACTAGCCAACATGGGTGTCAAGTCTCTTTGCCATCTGGCTAACACAGGGTCTTTTTTTCCCTTTGTGTTCTGTTGCTACAATAGGCCTTAGCCCATACTGGTTCAGTCTTTCAATGAATATTCATGCCCTTGCTTCATCATTTAAAACTTAGGTGTAGCCATTTATTTCTTCCTAAAAGCTACGACATGTTATTTTATGTAATCTGTTTTATCTCCTTTTTATGAGCTTGCTATTGGACTGTGTCTGTTTGATATTTTATTAGTGCCGTGCTTTGTCTTTAAAGGCAGAGGCCTTTTAGTTGTGCTAAAATAAAAGCCAACAACAATCAGCAGCTCTAAGAAGCTGCAACATATTTAATAAGGAAATACGAGATACATGTCATGGTAAGAAAATACAGTAATACTTCGCACTTACATCTTTCATCCACAGCTTTCCTCTGCTGACTGTTCAGCCAGCATGAATGAGAACACCACCTCTGAAGTTAGTAGTAATGTAATCTGCCTCAGCCAAGGATACAATTCAAGTCCTTTATAGGTGAATAAACTCAGTTATAGTGGCTTTACAAGGAGACAGGCAAGTACCAGTGTTCCGGGTTAAACAGCAGGGGACAAGGAAGACCTGCTAGACATACGCTGCCCAGCAAAATGAAAGCACTGCTATCACAGTACTGTGTGTTGTTACCAGCCATCCCAATGGTGTGCTGTATACAACAGCAACAGTTTGCTGTCATGTGGACATAATAACGTTTTCCTAAAATGGGTGGGCACAGACTTCATCTTGCCAGCAAGAAGCCAGAAGAGATGCTCAGAGAGGACAAGCACAGCACCCTTTCTTTTGATAAGCAAGACCTAGTTAAACATCTGTATTTACAACTGAGACGCCAGGTGCTGCTGATGACCATGTATGAACAGTTTCAAACGTGACTTCCAGCAGAAATGCTTCTGAAAAATTACTTCCTATGGATTTGAAGTCCATTCTTGAACCTGACACCACAAAGGGATTTCCACTACTTTCAGAAATTCATTACAAGCCTGCTAAACATGGACTGATGGCTACAGATGCTAACTACAGAAAGGGTGCATAGGTTTGATAAAAAGAAAAGTGGAGCAGTTGTTAAGAATACTAGCTCTTGAGTACCTCTCCTTTGAAGCTAGGCTGGGCAATAAAGCTTGAGACAACAGTTGTGTTTTCCTGCTTTTTGCCATTAGACACCATTTATTTTGCGTGCTAGAACTGCACAAATAGACTCATCGGTATTCCAGCCTGCTTCTCAGAGAGGATTGAACAGGCACTAATGACAACTGTTCAAAGCTCTTACGATCCTGGAGAGATGGATCCCCTCCATCTACCTGGTATGGGAACAACGTCCTAAGGGCCAACAGACTCCTGCAAAAAGAGAGTATTTCTGCTTCACAGCGGAAGCCAACAGCTGAGGCAGACAAGAGTTTGCCCACAGGAGAGGGGGACTGGCTTCAAGGGAGGCCACTTTTCAAAACTGAAAATACAATTAAATGGAATTACTGTTTGTTCAGATCTTCATGGTTTAATTAGGTTTCACATGCCTAAAAAGTCTTAAGCACGAGCTGACCACTTGTTTCACTGCAGGACATTTGCTAAACCATTAATTTGGCATAACATCAGTCTTACTTAGTAGGTTACTATAAAAAGGAATAGGTCATAATTTGTCAGTGCCTCTGAATACCAAACCGAAGTTTTCAGCCTTGCCCAGGCATTTATTTTAAAAACAAACACTTCAGTATTTATTCAGCAACTTGAGACGTTCACCTGCTTACAGTATTCTCTCACTAAAGCATTACACTCCCTACTCAATACCGCTTTAAAACCCCCCAAAATGCAGGAGCACTGATTCATTGAAAACCCATTTACATTTGCGCAAGTGCTGAAAATAAACAAAACCATCAGCTTTGGCAAAGCACACAAATGGAAGCTGACAGTGAAGATTTGGTTAGGAATGTCACCTTTCTGGAGTAGACATTAAGGTAACAGAACGTCAGTAGTTGATAGGAAAGACTGAGTGTGCCGACAAGAACCCAGCAGGTGACAGAAGATCTTACTCCTGGGGTGAAGATCAATTCTAAAATAACAGATATCTATCTCCATCATAAATTTCAAAAATGGAATATGCCATCCAGCAAATTTGCCCATGAATTTGATTTCTGAGTTGAAGTTTTTAGCCTTGCTTAATCATTTATAAGGCAATCTTCAGACACGTATCATTTATCCCATCCTTTTAAATCAAACTTCATCAAACCTTTTTTTATTCCATCCCTTTAAATCAAACTTCTTTGAACCTGTCCCCAGCCCTAGTTTTTGTTGAAGGCTATGAACATGGAAAGCTTGACTTTTAAAAGCTTCTCTTTCTTTTTCCTTCTGGTTTCTGCTTACAGATGTGTAAACTTTGTTTTCACGTCATGAAAACACTTCATTTGTCATCAATTTTGCCTTAGTTTTCAAACTGTTAAATCTGTCATCAGTAGGAGAGGAAAAGGAATGGCTTTGCTACTCCACCCTCCTTCTCCAACTGTGCCTGAAAATCAGAAATCAAACCCAGTCCAAAGCTTCTTACATTGGATTAGCTCTTCACACTGGCTGAATTCTTCACATCAACTGGGGTGCTATCAGTGTCTCTAATGCCAAAAGGGGTAGGTCAATGCTTAGTACCCTTGAAAAAGAAAAAACCTCCCATCCTGAGTGAACATAGGCAAAAGTTAATCAGAGTGAGGATATTAATACTCTCAGGGTGAATCTAGAAACCTCAGGCAACATGCTTGCCTTCCATTGAATACAATTTAAAAGCAGAGTTAAAGGTATTCCCAAAGTGAAAATAATGCAGGTATTAAACACAAAAGGCTGTCATTTTTTTACCATGGTACTGTCAATACCACCCCCATCTACCCCCCTCCTAGTTAGTTTAATGTTACACTGAGAGTACCACATCTGACTCTTTTAGATCAAGCAAGACAATGGAAAGATTGAGTTAGGGATTCTGGCCACCAATACTGTAGAAAAGCTTTACAGCCAAGAAAACTTTGTTCCACTTTTCATGCCACACAGAACAGAATGAGGAAAAATGAGAGTCAAGCATACACACTATTGGCCCTATTCTTCCACAATATATTAGACAGTTTATGGACAGTGAATTTCACAGCTTCAAGAAGTCTGCTCTTTAGGAAAGATTTAACATTCTGATTAATGCCTGTCCCACTCATCCCCATCTTGAAATCAGTTTCAAGCATCACAGAGCAAAACAAAAGGCCAAAAACTGCATGAAACATGCTTTTGAGCCCTGTGCATGCTGCTGTTAGAATTACTATTTGTACTACTGGAAAGGGTAGAGATGCCAAATTACTGTGCTAGATGCTGTATAACCACACAATTAGGAGACAGACTTGCTTCACACAAGAAGAACAATGTCTTGCTTGTATCTGTTTGGTTGTTGTGTGCAATAAATGAGCAGCAGCCTTTGAGTGAGTTAAGTCAACTTGCTGAGAATTTGATAGCGGATAATGAGGGACACTACCAGTCTCTCTCCTGTTTCCTTTGACAAGACTGGGCAAAGGCAAAAGAGTACTTTTAAGATCACTATACAAACCTGTAAGAAGACAGATGCAACCAAATGGCACTGCTTTGCACTGATCCCTGTACTTTGTTGTTAAATGCAAACATGGGCATTGTTTTTTTTAGAAGTCTTAATATCAGCTTCTCGCTAATTGTTTTGTTCTTGTTTCTAATCTAGGATTCTGACAAAGAAGAAAGGGGTTTTCTTTAGCATGATGAATGATAGGACATTCGGATTCCTACCTAATGACAATTAATTTACTGTATACCCATGCAAGTTAAGATAGTTTTAATTAGTTTTTACAAAGTAAAAGGGTAACTTCATATTCTATTTAGATAAAAGCAACTATTGCCTGACATTCTCATCAAATACAGAAGGTGAGCTGAGTGACCTTACTAGGATTCACTCTTAGTTTAATTCTCTATTTACTGTTTAAAAATAACCCATTTGCATAATAGTGCTGCACATTTTTTTGTCTTTAACTCTGAAATAATCCCTAATTGAAAAGTTGCTGCTATAATGAATCTGAAATGTGTGATCTCGGGTTTAAAAACCAAACACAAAACAAAGAGCACATCTCAAATATGCTGTAGCTAAAGCTGGTGACAGTAAATATCCTTATTAGAGATAGTGTTTAGGTACCTTTTATGAATGGACTGAAGTTATGGGCTAAAGTCAAAACATAAGAAGTGATAATACTCTTGGGATGTGAAAGCTGTAATTCTACGTAGATTACAGCAACACAGTCTCTACTAACACATGAAGGTCCTTTGTGCAAATGCCATTAGTTGTATGAGCACTGCAGTGTTTCTGTTTTCCTTAAGTCTTCTGGCATACACCTGGGTATTGATCTTCCTATAGACTGAATAGACTCATTCATTCAAGTCTGCATCCAAATATGTGATTTGGTTCTGCTATTTATATGAATTCAGAAACTCTCCTACCAGGAATCAAAGCCACTGAAAGGATGACATCCCTGCAGGCAGGGGTTGGACTAGATGACCTTTCAAGGTCCCTTCCAACCCAAACTATTCTATGATTCCATCATACTTCTACTTCAATGAAGTCATGTCCGTTCATACAAGATACGGATTTGTTCTTGCAACTGGAACACTACCCAAACCATGTGCAACGTCTCCAAGATCTTATTAACATGCACCAAATGAATTAGCAGCGTACCTCATCTCTCCCTATTCCTCTCAAAATCCACATCAGGAAGTATCATATTCCTAAGCTTTAAAACATTGAAACCTGCACATTAATTTCTGGTTTAAGTCCAGACTACTTGTGTGGGTTTATCATGTTTCTGAAGTGGGTTCAAGGTATGTCACGTTACTGTAAAATCACTGTGCACGCTACTAGTGCAGTGAGACTGAAAACAGAAACTGAATTAGAAAATCCTTCCCTATCAAGGTAACAGAATAAAACTAGTTTCTCTGTCCAGTTCCACAACTATCTGTCTTGCCTGATTCTCATAAAACTTGTTGGTCAGTCAACTACTTACCACTCCCAGGCACGTGTTCTGCAGGGGTAGCTATCTATATTTGCATGTATTCCAGAGGTGAACTTCCCAGCTCCTACACTCCTTGAGATCAGCCGCTGTGGCATGCAGCCAACAGCAAGGGAAGAAGAAACTAACATGCTAACAAAGGTTTTAAAAAGCTGTGGGACAACAAGGTGGTCTAATGCTATTGTATTGCACTGTACTACCAAGCAAGAGTCAACAGTCACCACCATTTCTCACCACCATTTTTTATTCCCTTTTGTTATGGTTTAAGCACAGCTCCCTCATTCCCACCCCACTCCCACAGGGATGGGGAGGAGAATTGAAAGGATGTAAATCCCACGGGCTGAGATAAGAATTACCACCCAGAATAATAATAATGGGAATGACAAGGGGAGAAAATATAAAACTAAAAGGGGAAAAGGGAAAGAAACCAATAAACACAAGTGATGCACAATACAATTGCTCACCACCTGCTGACCGATACCCAGCCCAACCTGATCAGCTATCTGGGCCTTCCAGGTAACTCCCCCCAGTTTATATACTGCGTACGATGTGCTGTGGTATGGAATACCCCTTTGGCTGGTTTGGGTCAGGTATCCTGTCTCTGCTTCCTCCCGGACTCATCTGGTCACTGCTGAACTCATCTGGTTTCATCGAAGTTCATGCTTTGTTGGGGTGATGATCGAAGGGAAGTCAGGGTCAGTCGATGGTGTCCTGAGGAAAGTTCTGCTGGCTTTCCCATGTCTTTATTCTCTGATGATGATCATGACAGTATATGTCTTCTTTTCAAACCCCAGAGTGGTGGAGAGGGGCATCTAGCTAATGGGCTACAGAAGTGTTACACAGGAGGCAACAGCATATAATTGAGCTAATTGGCTGCTTTCCCCCCCAGATTAAATCCCCTTGAGGTACACATCAGACTTCCCCATCTTCCCGCATTACCCACGAAGGGTATCCAGGTCCCTGAGCAAAAGCAAACCCATGACTGGGTTTGCCTTTACCTGAAGCAGGAATACCCCAGACTGCCTTCACCAGCCATTTCTTTATGTGCACCACAGGAGCTTTACCTCTGCATTGCCAGTTGCTCTGCTTCCACTGTTGCAAACACTCCCACAGGGCATTCGCCACCATCCACGAGTCAGTGTAGAGATAAAGTACTGGCCACTTTTCTCATTCAGCAATGCCCAAGGCCAGCTGGATGGCTTCACCTCGGCAAACTGACTCGATTCACCCTCTCCTTCAGCAGTTTCTGCAACTTGTCGTCGAGGATTCCATACAGCTGCCTTCCATCTCCGATGTTTTCCCACAGTACGGCAGGACCCATCAGTAAACAAGGCATACTGCTTTTCACTTTCTGACAGCTGATTATATGGTGGGGCCTCTTCAGCACGCATCACCTCCTCCTCTGGTGACATTCCGAAATCTTTGCCCTCTGGCCAGTCCATGATGATTTCTAGAATGCCTGGATGACTGGGATTTCCTATTTGAGCTCTTTGTGTAATTAGTGCAGCCCACTTACTCCATGTAGTATCGGTTGTATGATGTGTAGAGGAGACCCTGCCTTTGAACATCCAGCGTAGCACGGGCAACCAGTGTGCCAGGAGGAGCTGTGCTTCAGTGCCAATCACTTCTGAAGCAGCTCAAACCCCTCCATAGGCGGCCAGTATCGCTTTCTCAGTTGGGGTATAGCTTGCCTCAGATCTTCTGGATCCTCGACTCCAAAAGCCGACGGGTCGACCTCGGGTCTCTCCTGGAGCTTTCTGCCAGAGGCTCCAGGTAGGGCCATTCTCCCCAGCTGCGGTGTACGGTACATTTTTTACATCTGGCCCAGTCTGGACTGGTCCAAGGGCTCCTGCATGAACTATCTCACATTTAATTTGCTCAAAGGCTTGTTGTTGCTCAGGACCCCATTTAAAATCATTCTTCTTCTGGGTCACATGTTAGAGAGGGCTTACAATCGAACTGTAATTTGGGATGTGCATTCTCCAGAACCCCACAACACCTAAGAAAGCTTGTGTTTCTTTCTTATTAGTTGGTGGAGACATTGCTGTTACCTTGTTGATCACATCTGTGGGGACCTGCCATTTTATTCCCAAAAATTGAATCTCCTGTGCAGGTCCCTTCACCTTACTGTTTTATGGCAAAACCAGCCTTCAGAAGGATTTGGATTATTTTCTTCCCTTTCTCAAAAACTTCTTCTACTGTATCACCCCCCCAAAAGGAATCCTTGCCCCTTCTGTGTTGCCCAGGCTATGTTGCAGCGGCTATTCACAGGCATGATCCCACTACTGATTAGCATGGGAGCTTTGACCGGCTCAGTCTCTGACCTGGGCCGGTTCACACCTCCTTAAACCTTGAACCTCCACATTAATATGGCTTTCTGGGGCTCACAGTATTGATGCCGGCCTTAGAGCAGGCTAAAGCGATCCGGTGGGCTCAGCCTCCAGAGCAGCTGGGACCACGGGCATGCATCACCACCCTTCTCAGAAGCTCTGGCCACAGAGAATAACACTGGAGGTTATCATTTATGCTTCACCACATCAGTGGAAGGCAACTCACTGGCATCAACTGAAAGGCTGAATTGCAGATGCTCAGAGAACAGGTGGAACAGCACCCATGGACTGCAAAGTATCCCCTGGAAAACCATAACCTCAGAGAGGAGAACAAAAAGCTTTGTTTTTTGCAGTCAGTTAAGGCTCAAGAAATTGATGCCAAAACAGTTAACGGATTTGGAAAAAGCTTTCTCAGAAGCACTGGCCACAGAGAAAAGGAACTGTTACAGCTGAACCCAGGACACCCTTGTTGGAAGGAATGGAGTACATACCCAAAAGCATGTAAGCATCTTACAACTAGAGGGGAGTGCTCTGCATAATCCCTTCTGGCTGATCAAAAGGAGCAGTACTGAGCATTTGGAATGGAGTGCTCTCTTTTCCTCCTTTTCCAGAGAAAGTGGGACAGATTAGAGGTCTGAAAGGTTTTCATGTAGGTAAAGAAGGCACTTAATATTAGGGAAAACTAAGTCAGAACCCTTGAGAATTCAGCAAACTGCTTCACTTTGGAAGTGTTCTCAAAGTCTATCAGTCTATGATACACAACTTGCAAGCACAGCTACTGCTATGTAAGAAGGAGGGGAGCATGCTCTCCTAATGGAAACACAGATGTAAACCTTCTATTAACAGAGAGCTCATCAGGGAAATACTCACCCTAACGACGAAAGTGAGTTACTGATTGTGAACAGAAAAGGACATTTTCAAAAGCACTCCAGCCCTGCTGGAAGTAAAATTTATAACCTGTTTTCTGGAGCAGTCCAGTTCCTCTCCCTGTTTTCAAAGTTTACTTTCAGACTTGACATAACCCTTGTATCCTTGGCAATCGATGCTTTGGCCCTCCATCCTCATGAGAAGGCTTACTCTGACTCCCACTTCTCTATCTGCATGGAGGCCTTTTGGGTCAGGCCAAGGGCAACCCACGTGGTTCCCTTTGTAGGACTGTCTAGAAAACATCACTTACTATCCATGGCGTGAAGATATTCCATATGAAGAGCACCGGCTCCTGCAGTGGCAGCTGAAGGAATGATGTCTGCGTATGGGCTGCGCTGGCCTGCCAACAGAGCCATCTGATGGTAATATTCAGCTGGGCTGACGCCAGCGTGTGGAGCTAAAAACACAACATAAAAAGCGCTGTTAATGACGTAAGATAAACAAGAAGGAAAGTTTTATCACACTGCTGGCTATTAAAACAGCTTGTTTATTTTTAATGTAATGCAACATCTGCAGTATGCCACCACCGGTCAATATATTTCAGCCACTGAGACTGCAAAGACACCATTCAAGAAACAGCAAGGCATAAAATATTAATGAGCTTGGTGATCTCATGTTTTTATATTTATTATTAAGTGACTTAAAAAGTGACAGGCTGACAGCAATGGAAACCAGCATGATTTATGTAGTGACATAAAAAGGCAGGAAAACCTTCCTAGAGTTTTATTCCCATTTACCTCATCCCTGGCCCAAAGGACTCTGTCTCTAAGGTAATAACAGGGTTGAACTTCCATAAGCATTGAAGTTTCTGGAGTCTCTGCTTAGAGGACCAGAACATTTTTCGCTCACAGCAGCATTTTGTGTACAAGTTGAGGAGAAAACAAGGACAAAGCATGTTTTCAGGACAAATACTACTTGTCCATGAATAAGGTAGGAGCATTTTTTGGGGAGGACAGACTGAAGTCAATGAATGTGGGCATCCCATCCTTCAAAGTTCATATATGAAGTGTACCTGACAAAAGCATGTTTGCAGAGTCAAACAGTCTGCAAACATGACTAGATAGGCTCTAAATCCTGTGAGATGATGAGCAATGCAGTCCTCTGATAATGACTTATATTAGCCTTTCTCTCCTTTAAGAATAACACGTGAGCATTCTGTTCCCCTGCAGTTTCCAAGCGTGCAACAACTAATGGACAATTCTGCACAAACACAGAAATCCACAAAATTTTAGTATCACCCCATCTCGGCAGGTTTCAGATGCTACAGTAAATAAAGGGTAATTTCATGAGGTGAGCAGCCCTCCCCTCTGTTCTCTGCTTGTCCCACTTGCAAAACAGCTCAGATTTCCTTACGCTTTGCTCACCAGAAGTTGGTAAGTTTGCCTAAACCAGTTCAAGTGCCTTAGGTTAATGGACTACACCCCAACAGATTATTTCTGTATTCTTTTATGTTATTTAATGAGATTTCTCTTTGATCCCAGGAACTGATTCTTGAATGGAAACAAAATTTTAAGCTGAATTTCTCTGAGCTACCAATTTAACCTGAATATCGTCACTACACAGTATTATTAAAAAGGGTAACTCATGTTAAGGTGAATCGAAGCCTAAATGCAAACATGAGAAGCAAGGAATCAACACTGACATGCAAACAAGGTAAACATGGCACTGGAGTCTGAAGGAAAGTTTATTCAGCAACAGATTTCTTAAGTGCATAATAATCTGCCTTTATTTTTACCTAAGAAAATGGCAGAATGTGCTTTTGATGTTACAAGGTTAACTACAACCAATTTCAGGAAAGGTTCAGAAAAATAAAAGCACATCAAAAAGGAATGGGAATGGCATAAAAAACGAGCTGAGATGAATTAAAGGCTGTTGGCATTTTTTCCACATTACGAATGGATCTCTCAATTAAATATAATCTACTACAGCCACCACCACTTTCTGTGATAGGGCAAGAAAAATATTCAGACCCAATTTTAAGAGAGGAGTAACTCACACTGAGTCACTGATGTTAAAAGTTTTACTGTACTAGGTAACCATCCTATCTTTCCAGACACACTGAAAATGCTTCCTGAGCTTTCTGACCTCAGTGTCTGGGTTAACTAACAATAACATTGGCTGCAAACTTTAAAATGAACTGCTGCAGAAAACACAGCGAACACATAATTGCATTACTAAATGTTCCATATGCTGAGAAATGCTCTGGTCCTCTTTAAAGATCATTCCTTACTACCTTCTTCAAACATAAGAAATTAGCCTACTGAATGATGTATTGCATGAAGGGTAAATGAAGGGTAAATGGGAAGGCCCACAGCCCTGAATTTTTCTCCTTTCTTCCTGGGTAGCTTCAGCTTTGCCCCTGCTCTTCTTTACAAAGGGGAGGCATTTGCTTCTGCACTGCGGGCGCTGCTGAGCTTGCTTTGGAGCACTCTGCTCCACAGGTACCAACAACGCAATCCTTACCCCTGTCCCATCCCACTGCGTTACTCGGATGAATCTTCTGCCCCGACTCTGCTGGGTAAGGTGAAGTGACGAGACAGAAGAGACTCTACCATTAGTGCTGCTGAGGCAGTCATTAATTACAGCTGGCAAGACTTGTAGTGAACATGAAACTGCTCTTCGTTATGTTCCAGATTGTTTTGGCTCCTGGCCATCTCCAGATCTGTGAGCTGACAGACTAAGCCCAATAGTACACTGACCTAATTATCTGACTGGCCTAAAGCAGTTAGGGTAGCAAGAGAAATCTTGCTATGGATTTCAGAGGAACAATAACAACTTCCAAGCCTTCACAGTTTAAATGCTAGACGACTTAAGCCATCTATGTCCATTACGTTATTAGTACATTATGTGCCTGCACCCCTTTAAATCACAGGGGAGGTTTATTTGCATTCTAATAGTGCCCAAGCCCTATCTTGGATTATCTGATCCCAGGAACCTACACCTGATAAAAGCATTTAAGTGCACACTGACGGATCATACAACGGATTCCAGAGAACAAATTCATCAACTTTTCAATGAGCATGTCATTTTACTAAAACATCTCTGATGCCTCAGTCAAGTTATTGTATTTTCACGAGGTGCTGCACAACACCTGGGCTGTGGTAAGTGATCAAAGGGGAGCTGTGAGCCTGGAGGAAACGTGATGTAACATGTATTTGTTTAAAACACAAAGAAGCTTAAGCTAATAAGCTTAACCTGCAGTTATGAAAGGCTAGGACTGTGCATACAGTTTTTGAGCAATCAAAGCTCAAGGGAAGAGCATTAAGACAGAGCATACTCAACTGTGTTGTCCACACCCCAGTGTTTTGTGTCATCTGAAAGCCCATGGGTACACAAAACACCTACATGAGGCTGGCAAGTAGGAGGCAGGCCTTAGAGGAGAGAACTCCTTTTCCAAGGTGGCAGCAGGAGTTGAGGCAAGGTATTTCACAGACCTAAACCAACACCAAACATTACTATCGTAGTTACGATGGAACTCCAGATCCAGGTGTAACATGTGCACTGCCTAGAACTCACTGGACTATAATGGCAAAACAGCACACCAGGATCACAGACAGACTTCTATAGAGACCTAAATTTAGGTGTCAGAATCTGGAACCAAATTCTATCCTGAGATATCTTAGATTTCCAGAGAGATTACAACTGGCCTGAGGAATAGGGCAAAGCACCTCTAGAAGGCAGCTGCCCTTCTGGAGTGTGACTTGGGTGCTGGGTCAGATTCCCCAGCGTATCTCAGAGCACTACATAGCTGCAAGTGAATCCAGTGTTGTGTACGTGAGACCAAGAATGTACACAGGTTAATGTCATATGGTTGTGTGGTAGGTGTTTTCTTTCCCTCCTTTCTTTGTATGTGCGGCTGGAGCATACCTTAAGCATCAACGAAATTCTGCAGCAATGTGATGTGAAGATTATTAAAGGAAAGATAGTGTTCTTCATATCAGCTTCTGTGAAAAGCTCAAACGTACATCACAAAAATCTTCCCAATTTATTCCATTACATATGGCCCTATCATGTTTATCCTATATCAAAAGCCCCAAAGCTCCACAAGTCAAACCATGCATTTCTGAGATTCAAGTTGTTTCTTCAAAATACAAGTATATATATTTTTAATAGCTTGGGCTAAAATAAAAAGGGTAGAATTAGCATGGATTCATCCAGCATCCCAAGTGCTGCTAGGAAAAGCCCTATGTGCATGCCATATACCTTGATTGACAATAGGTCATTAAAATTTATTCTCATAAGAATATGTGCCCATAACTAATGGATTAACTGCAAAGGTATATGTTCTTACAAGTGAGGATTAATTAGTTATCCATTTGGATAGGGTGCATGGCTCATTTTTCAAATTCAGCTAAAGGCGGTTTAACTCTGTTTGGTAAGTTTCTGCATATGTTGGGAAGATCTTTCCCACAGTTAAAATAATAGTTTCATTATCTTCACTACATATTTGTTTCCAAGTATGTTGTATTTTTGCTCTTCTCAGCAAATGCTACACTTTTGAAATGTCAGACTGTTTGCTCTAGTACTGAAAAACCTACTGCTAATAGATTGAGCCTTTCTGAAACTCTTCATTGCTCGCTTCAGCAAAATTCCCATGTAAATGAGTAAGAAGTGTGCCAGAGTAATGACAGAAGTGATCACAGCCGTTCACTTCAGCCCAGATAACCTGGAAATAGCCATGGTCACACCAAGACATAAAGCACTGATATTTCAAGTCTACTGTTCACTGTTTAAAGTGAAGGGGCCAGTCCTGATCATCAATTCTTCTACATCAGCATCATTTCATTTGGCCATATTGTTGGCTGAAATAATTCTACATAATTCTAACAGAACTGTTAACTAAGTATAACAAATCAGTGCATGCTTTACATGATAGAAAAATGCTACTTTAATTAATAAGCCTTTTGCACCTCAAGAATTCTACAGCTATGTGCTGATGGAACACTTATGAGGAATGTGGCTCAAATCAGTGCTGATGCATCAGATTTCTTTGGAGAACAGAATCACAACCTGGGTCAGCCCCACAAACAAAAGATATCACAAGAGATACACCACCCTCCCAGCTTAAATTTTGAATGAGGCAGGGCTTTTTTGTCTTTTCCTTCTCCCTGAACTTTCAACATTTGTGAGATGTACAAATGAGCCATGATCGGCTGATGAAGTATTGAAACATTTATGACATAATGAATATGTCTGACAAACCTGATGAAGCTGCTTTGAACAGGGGGGGAAAAAATGTTGACAAGATTAATATAACTTAAGTTGCTACAATGACAGAAAACAGGAAGCCTGTCTTAACCCACCGTCTGTTGGGCTGAGCCCACGGGCCGCTGAGATCATGGAGAGGGATGGGCTGCTGTGCAGGGACCTGATGTAGTCCATGTAGGGGTTAATGTAAGGGTGAGGGGTGCTGAAGGGAGACTCTGATGTTGCAGCAGGATTTCGGTGTGGGGAAATTCTAAGGAATGGAAGCTCTGAGTATGTTGGGCTACTTGATAAAGCAGAAGGCCTGGAAGAAAAAAGAAAGACAAACAAAAGACAGTCACAATATTAATATAATACAGAAAAACACTGCAAAGGTAACACATTCATTTCTCGAAGAACAAGAATTGGGCTGCATATGGAGTAACTTCCACTAGAGTCAACTGCCTAGAAAGAAAAGGGATAGGAAATGAATTCTTCTCTCCACCCATATTAGCAACATTTCTCCAATGAATTTTGAGTTTACACTTGGTTTAATCTTTACATCCATCAAAACTCTTTCCCCATGGAGTCCAGCAGAAACTCACTTTAATTAGTGTGAAATACGCATTCGGTATACCACATACTAATTCTTACTGCAACACGGAAAACACACTGAGATGCTGAACCATTTACACCTTCAAAACCACAGAGCTATCAGAGTAAGTTTTGAGAGCTACACTGCACCCACTCCCTTCACTTCCCTGCTTACTTCTCCTGAAAGTGAAGATTGCACATTTATATACAAGCAATTTCAGAAGACCCAAATTTTGTAAGCTATTAAGACAGCCGGGTCCTCTGCAGCATGGGATGCCCCTTCCCACGAAACATGCAGAAAACATGGCGGCAAAGGAAGAAAGACTGCTGCATATGTTTGGGTTTAGCATGGCACCAGAGACTGATGCCTTTAACAAGACACCACCATTCTTGAGAAGGGAGAGCTGTGGTGGCTACTCCGGCTACGTGTGTGGAGCTGTGATGAACCAAGGCTGAAAGCTGAGTTCCCACCTGACAAAAGATAACCTGCTGTAACTCTTCCCATCATCCCACCCTGTCAATAGGACAGTGTCCAGGCTCTGTGTGGAGACCTTACTTTTACAGCATCCTGCCTCCAAAGGCACTAGAAAAAGTCCAAATTTCATCATCTTTCGCAAAATGCAATGACTAAGCCTGTCATGCATTTGTGTAGTCCAACTGGCTGACCTGAACTAAATGTCTGTTTGTCCTTGTTTTTCCAATTAATGTATCATATATACAGCACAGACACAGGCAGCAGCTGTGAGAGCAGGGAGGGCATCCTGTTCCTTTGATGCTCCTAGCTTACAAAGAATAATGAAACAAGAAATGCTTTTTTTTTCTTTAACATACATATACTATGATCTATAGAGATAGCTGTCATCACCTAACAGGCCAACAGGACTTAATCTTACATAGGAGCAGATCCTGCCCTGCCATCAGCTTGGAAATGGTAGCATATGAGTGGGACAAAGATCAAAGATACAAATTCCTAAAGTGACACTGGCTTCACTGTCACAAAATCCATGATGGCTCATAAAATCTGGGGAATAACGATTTTTCCTGTTGGGATTTTCTCCCTCTTTTCCCTTCTCTATTTGGCTTTTGTGTGTTTCTTGCCCTCCTACAGCTTTCTTCAAGGTAAGCCTGTTTAGCCTTCCTGTATGACATTAATTCCTAGCTCCAAAGATAGAGTGCTGCATTCGCTGTGTGCTAGAAGCAGGTACTGTCAGTGCAATCACTCCTTTGGCACCAAAGCAAGTGATCCACAGGAAGACCAGACACCCACTGGTACACCTTTCACTGTGTTTAAAATGCAGAGAACCTGAAACCAGAAGCTATTTTCCAGCACTGTGCAAAACGGGCATCTCCTTTCCTCAGAGCACTTTTTCTCTGCATAGCTGAGAAGCACGTTTGTTTTACAGTGGAAACACAGCTCTACACTTCTTGGTACTGTTAAACCCCACCAGCCACAAAGCTGTTCCATGGTTCCCCGTCAGGCTGAGTGTGGAAGGCAGAAGGCTTAAAACTCATGGTGATGTAAGAAGCAATATACCACAGCTGGATATCACGTTACAGAGTGAATTTCCCATCCTGGCAGCGAGGAAAACATGGCAGTACAGCAAATTGAACACCTGGGTAACAAACTAAGTTTGGATGTCATTTTACAAGTCATTTTTTCTAATGTGATCCCATGTCGGAGTTAGGAACCCAAAGAGCACCCGAGGAGCATGCAGGCAGGCAGGCAGGAGCCCTGGCCTTATCCCATGCATCTAGAACAGAAAACCATTTAAAAGCTTTTGCAAGATGGCTCAAAGTCTGTATCAGCCTCAGTGATTCACTCTCCCAGCTGGACAACAGCCAAGCGCTGCCACAGGAGCAAGGTTAAGAGCCAGGCTGTCAGCTTCTCCCTCCAGATCCAATGGGAGACACTCAAGGACACTAGGACTCAACAGCTTCTCCTCAGCCCGGCCTCTTCCTCTCCCTGCTCCTCTGAGCTCCTCAGTTTTACAAGGATGCTAGAGGAAAGATGCCAAGCTGGGTAACATCAGTCAGCATCAGGCATCAGGCTGCATTCAGAGGCAGAAATAAGGAGTCATCAGATTCCACATAAAATTCCCAGCTCTGGACTCTAGTGTTTACCAATCTCTCTCCAACATCTGATTTTAACATGCTGCTTACTTCTCCCCTCAACTCCAGTCTGTACTTTTCTCACTTCTCTGTTTCCGGACCCTTCTTTCCAACAGTCCAGTTTTCCCTCCTGCCTCCATCTGCTCTCAGTCCCACTGTGTAAGCCCTCCTGATTTACTTCAATAAACATCACATATTCCTCCCTTCACTTCCCTCCACGATTAAACTTCACTATGAACATCTTCCAAAAGCATTAACTCCCTCTCGCAAGCTAAACCATGACTTTTAGAAAGGGTGCACCCAAACACAGTTACTACTAGCTGTTGCTTTGCAACCTCTTTGTGTACCAACAAAGAATGACTTTTGTCCCATAAACAACAAACAGCAGAGCCCAGGAGCAGCCCTGCAGACTCTCATTCAGCGACAACCAACTCGACTCTCCAGATGCGAGTAGCAACTCACCCCCATCATTTTTATTTCACATGTACTTTGTCCCTAACCTTAACAAACAGTGTTCTGCCTTGGGTCTGAGGCTGCTTTGTGGGATGCAATGAGGCTTCAGCACAAGAAGAGGGACATTTTCAGTGATGCTGCTTGAGACTTTATGCCTTATCTGTAAACCATGAGAAGGCAGGGGTTTTCCTGTTCAATGATGAACTCGGAGCACTAAAGCTTCCTTCAGAGAGAGGGGCAAAGCGGATGCATGCTCTTTTCTGAATCAGGACCTCTGTGTATAGTCCCAAAGACCTGCAAATCTTGAAAGGATCGTATGTATTTTAAATCAGCAGAGAGAATATGGATAGGGGCGCTCACACCACGTACTTCAGGTCGTTTTTCATATCTAGGCATTAGCCAGTTTTACAATGACAAAGATCAGATGCTCTAAATTCAAGTGGAAATCCTATCCCCTTCTATGACTAGAGGTAAAAGTCCTTAGGTAGGTAAGCAGACAGAGAGCTAGCTGACTACATGGCCCTTCAGCCACCCTCTCTTCTTAGTGCCATACTGTCAGCCTTCAGGAGCACAATTTCCAGTCTCTGTCCAGGTCCCTGGTGTGGCAGATTGAGGTGTGAGCGGTACCAGAACAGCTCTGGACATTAGGTCAATGAAGGAACAGAGTATTCGCTACGATGGGTCATTTTTCCCTTCTAACTTGCACCTTTTCTTCCACCTATGTTCCTGAACCGCTCCTGTGGCACGAGACAGAAGGAAACCACAGTTGGGAATATACAACTTCCTTGAATTCTATACATTCAAAAAACTAAACTATTTGGTGAATTCGAGCCTCTAAAGAAATGAAGACTGACAGAAATATCAATGGGGTTTTATTTTCCAAGCTAATGAACTGTTCAGAAATTTCATAAGAACAAGGAACTCCAATTTCCCATACTCCCTTTTTCACCCCCTTCCCAACTAAGTCACACAGGTCTAACATTCAGACGACTAAAGTACCATGAAACCACTTTATATGGATTTACACTTGTAACTGAGTAAGGGAATATCAATGCAGTGCTCATTATTCCTGTTGCTGCATCTCTTGCCACTGTGAAAAGTGCAGTGGGCCCTGGGGTGTACTGTAATCCCCCCTTTGTTAGACAGTGCTCTTCAACAGCAACGACCTAAAGCCACGCAAGGACAGCCACAAAGGTCTGTGACACAGGAAAACCTGGATGAGAATCCTGAGGTTGGTCTGGTGCTCAAGTGATTTGCCATCAGTAGTTTCCAAATAGCTTTAAGATGTGCTTGGGCAAGAACCTCTTTAAAGCACAACCTACCTTAAAAAAATCATAGCTGTTTAATCATTCCCTGATTTTAAAGGAAACTGTAACTCCAGGACTGGAAATTTGAATGCCAAGTTTTGTTCTGATAAATTTTTAAATGGCTCTTTTATGAATCTGTTGAAAAATACATTTATATTGAAAACAGCAAGTGATCCTTAACTATAACATTGTAAATATGACACTGAGCTGAGGTTACAGATGGAACAATAATCTATCTCACAGAACAAAGCTTGTCAACGAAGTGGGATGAAATATTGTAACATAACCTAATTTATTATTGCCTTTTCATCCATCTTGTTATATTGTGAAAGTGTCAAAGTTCAAACCTCGATATTTAATCATTTAACAGGACGTTATTCAATGCTAGAGCAAGCATTGATGGCATAACTCTCATACCAATGATATCCACAGTGTTTCTCTGATACCTGCTCAATTCAACCCTGCCTAGACAATTGGAAAATGTGAAACTCATTAAACTGCTTCTTATGATCCTTTTCTATTCTCCTTGGTGCAATAACCTCCTGATGGCTGCCCCAAAAACATTTAACACTTTTACTTCTAGGAGATCCTGGAAGATGAACAAACAATAAGGATTTCCTTGTTGTGTAGTAAGTCCTATTTTAAAGCACATGTTCCTTTGGTAGCAACTCCCATGTTAAATGTGTATTGTTTGTTTAATGCCATAGTTGCTTGTACACACCAACCCTTCAGTCAGCAGTCAACAACTGGCTAGTAAAAGGTTTTCATATCAGGAAAGCTGAACTCTAAGGCTTGATCCTGAAAATGCAAGTGAGAACAATTCCAATAGCTGTGATTAGCCCCAGTGATCAAGTTACTTCTC